AGCCAAAACAGTTCTGAATTAAGTTCCAAATTTCAACTGAGTAGAGCTCAGTTGTTCAAGCCTGTGTGGCGCTACCACCAGCAAGTACCCTGCCTCCCAGACTCATCAGTCCGGGGCTTCAGATACTCTCAAGTCCATGGCAGGCATCCTACATGCAAGCCCCATGCCCAGAGTGGCCTGACAGTTCAGATGCCCCAGTCTTGCTTGCCCCTAGCCAAAACGCTGAAGGAGCAAACTAGGGGGAAAGCCCAAAAGCAATCCCCCATCGCCATAAGCTGTGTAGCTGTACAATACACTGGGCGTGTTCTCTGATACCCGCTTCAAAAAGTGGGCATCTGGCAAGTGGAAACAGCATCCTGCTTGCTGCACTACAATGTTATGGTTGATTTCCAGGACACAAGTATTTCCATACTCTTCTTTTGAGAGACCAGAGGCTCATAACATTTAGAAGTGATTTGCTTCTGCCTCTTGAATTCCAGCAGGGAATGAGCTGGGTATAAAAGGTCTGTATGAAGGCTTTCCCCCTTTCTTAGGGAGCATCCTTTTTCCTTTTTTTCTGGAATTAAGCCTTGCTGGCTGCCCACCTCAGCCCTTGTGGCGCATCTGGGCCTTCAATCTATTTTTATTTTTTTAAATGTCCATATTCCAAGCCAAAACGGCCAAAACAATCCATGAGTTAGTCCAGGCCCAAAAGTGGCCGTACTACTGGCAAACATTCTCCACCCCGACTTGGGGCTTCAGATGTTCCCAAATCCTTTGGTGGGCATCCAACTTGCAGCCTCAAGCCAGGAGGCATGGGGTTAGGATGCCCCTGAGTTTCACCTACCCTCAGCCATAAGTACCCTCAGGAACAAGCTAGGGAGGAGTCTCCCATTTCCATAAAATGGACGTAAAGCCCAGGTTTACTACGCATTACCTACGCGGGCACTATCCCATGCCAGCAGAGCGGTCTTCCCCAGGGGCACCTGGGCCTCTCATTTAGGTGCTGGGGCTTGGGGGCAGATTGCCCTCTTCAGCCATTTGCCCCGTGCCTCACCTGTTCAAACATCGTCGAGAAGAGGGCAGAAATGGAAGGAGGGAGGGCTCTGACGGGGAGGGGCTGGACCCAGAGCCCCTGTGGGGGCAGGTGGGGGTGAAGGAAGTGGGTTCGAGTCCCGTGCGGTTCCTTGCCAGCGATTCACTGGGGTTTCTGGTAACAGGCTGCCTCCTGCAGCCTCGCGGCAGACCCCGGCTGCTCCCCGGGGCGGTGCCGGAGCCGCGGCTGGGAAGGCAGCAGACGCTGCACCAGCGTCCACAGCAGGTTGCCGGGGGGTGGGAAGCCAAGTGCCACTACTGCCCAGCCCCAG